AGTGTTCTATTTAAAGATCATTTACTCCAAAACAAAACAAAATCATTTCTTCCAGAGGCACAAATACGCGGGTGCTGGTTGTTTTGAGGAAACTGATGAACATCGAGCAAAGACTCTGTCGTTTTTCGATCCGGAGAACATTCGTACGTGTAGTATTCGACGAAGTTTATTTGAAATTGAAAGGCGTTGCAGATGCTCAATGCGTCGAGCTTATACTCCAAATCCAGGGGGTAAATTAAAATTTTATCTGAAATTTTTGTCAAGGACATAAATTCCGATAGGAATCCTGGACTGTAGGTGCATCCTAAAAACAAAAAAATGACTTGCATAACGGCGTCCGGGAAGTCTAAGGACCAATGGTAAGCAAACGAGGAATTTGTTAAATAGAAGACATATGTGTTCGCATGCACAGAAAAGCTAGATCTACTGATTAGAAAGTGCCTACTAATTTGTTCGCAACTGTTGGTCATTATATATGGAGAGTGACCAAAAAACAGATTCGAATAATTAATGCATGTTGGCGACATAGATAGCAACGGATGAGTAAAAATCGATTCACAAGTTAATTTTAATGAATTTTAATCATAGTTTATCACATTCGTTGTACGAATAAGTATTCGCTGATTTCTAATATCTGAAACGGCTACTGGCTGATCACCAAGTCAAATTCGGAAAACTTTTCATTGGTGTAGCCAAAAACCGTGTCATTTTCATTTTTCTTCATTTCATGCTTGTTTTGACCAATGCTGCATCATCTGACAAGTCAGCCTTCTAGTAACCTGGCATTCATTGTGTTTCCTGATGCATCTCAATGTTTCTCCTAAAAAAGCACATTGGCAAGCTGTAGATTCTTGAATTTAACGGTACAGCGTCATCACCGCGTTTCCAAAACGCTGCTACTCTCAAACTGCATTGAGGATACTTTGTTATCTTGGGGGATTACAATATTATAACTAATGTCACGATTATCAGTAACTGTGGATAGTTTCGCGATTACTGTATTCGTAATTTTGTAACACTCATGGCCATTTGATTTTTCGTAAATTTGCTTTCGATACATTCTGAGTTCGTTTAGTCTGGATTCTCACGCAGGGAGCAATTCAGGCTACCAGTTTTGTAACGTGGAGCAATATTTCAATTGTGTATTGCCTACTCTGCAACTGGGTAAGAAGAAGACTTTCGATCAATTTCAATGCATTCCACTGTGTGATCAAATCGATTATACGGCTTGGCAAGATATGACGTTACTTCCGAACAATATTTTTCCGTCGCTGATTGAAACAGTGGATGAGGAGGACGCGGATGATGTCATCGACGACTATGATGCTGAAAATGATGTAAAAATTTGCATAATAGTTATTATTGTAATTTTGCAATTGCTCTATAAGCAGACCATGCAAGAAAGTAAAATCTGATGAGCCCAGCACATTGCTCGCCTTAACGGACAACCGGTAGATGTCGCGTACTATTGGATGGTACTCGTGCGGTCCTCAAAAAGGCAATGCCATCTACTGTAATAAGTATTAACTGGAAGACATGCAAGTCAGGATCGAAAGGCTTGACATAGCTGTTTCCAATGTGTGGGAGCGTTTCAGAAACATCGCGAGCATAAGATATCATAGTGATTGTCCCCGAGCGATCTTAGTACTTTTCTCGCTTTCACGTACTAAATCACATACCAAAACAAAGATGATGGAGGTCCCAATCCTCTTTTTCAATTTCCGGAGGTTACTAATGTTGCTGAAGTATAGTTTCATTTTTGACGTAGCTCACTTCAGAATTTTCTGATTTAAACTGCATGCCTCTAGTTACTACCTATTGCCCAGTTATCGATAGGTAACATCTTCAATTGTCATATAATGCGAGGTTTTTTTTTTTTTTCAGGCGAGCTTACTTGAATTTCAACGGGACGAGCATTTTCAGTGCGAGGAAAATCAATTGCTTGATCCTCAGCAGGCACCTTTTACTGCTTCTCTTTGCCCACAGCACAAAAGTGTTATAACGAGGCAATATTTCTACGGTTTCTGCTGGCAGTCTTTGTCGTGAAAAATTGGCACAAAAAAGACACCATAAAGAAAAAGATGTATAAATGGCTATGGGAGGCAATTAAGAAAAGAAAGGTGTATTATGCCTTGAAAGGTAGATACTCAGCAAATCTGCTGCCAGTTGAAGTTGGAGCACAAGGGCAGGTGGTGTAGTGGATAACACGTCGCGCCCGATTGTGAAGAGGAGTGGTTCAATCCCTTAACATTTCATTAGGATTTTCGAAACTGTTTGCGTTCGCGACAATTTGACTTTCTTTTAGATTCATGAAGGCATGACCGGCGTAATGGTCTTCCCACAGAACCACTTTACAAGGCTTTACTAAATCCGAGATTCAGCATGGTGTTGTGTTATGCTGTATGTGTGTTTTGAAAACCACCGCCTCGCCCTATGCGTTGTTACTGCTAGACTACGCTGAAAAGCCTTGCCATCGGGAAGATGCGTGTTCCGAAGCTGCTAATTAATCATGACCAAGTAGAATTTCAGGTTCACAGCATCAAACGTTCTGCTCAGCGTGCTTATGAAAAACAGTCTCGATATCAGGATGACATCCAGCTGCGAACAAAACGGCTAATCCTGAAGCTGCGTGAATCAACACAAAAGTATGAGAATCAAAATATTTTTGTGCATACCTCTGAAACCAAATAATTGTAGGTTTCAGCAACTTATATCTGATACATTTACCGTTATATTTAATTTAATTTGCGTAGATATGTAGCAGTGGAAACATCGATCATATTCAGTGGTCGTGCGATCTTGAAATGTCTGTTAGTTCACCACTGTTTTATATTCGAAGCGTTCTCCAGTTATTTCACCAATGACCTCAGCCTTGGGATCTCCTCATCTACCATATAACAAACACTGGAGTTAGCAGATCAGCCCAGCGCGTCAGCGGTCATCCAACTGTTTTTTTTTTTTGGACAAGTTATGGGTGAAACTAAGATGAAATGCATAGGTATTCGGGCACTATTTAGCATTCAGCACTCTATTTTTTTCAAAAAATAATTGCCTAATGCCCTGCGTGAGCAACACGAAGGAATCCTACGAAGGCAACACAAAAGAAAATTCTTGCAGGTTAATAGATAATGGCTGGGGTTGGACTGATGACACGTATCGCGATGTATTCGAGAGACTGAACAGATCGGTCAGTTGCTTTAATCAAATGCCTATAACGCATGCGGAAATGTTTACCGCAACTGAGAATCCGCCAACAGTCACCGAAGAAGCACGGATTGCTAATCTATTTCGGGTATGGTTTTAATTAGGTTTTTCAACTTTGATATAAATTCTGAAACATCTGCTTGTTTGGATCGTAAGTAAACAATCGTGCATTAAGAATCCAAAAAATACGCAGTAACCTTGGCTGTTAGAGTGAGCTATACGATGAACGTAAATTCTTTTGTAAAAGTACCTAGAAAGTGCAACTGCTGATGGTACTACCTACCTTTGATTGCAAATGAAATCATTTATAGTCGAGATACGACAACAGCTTCATGTTGTAAGTTCTTAACGTTTTGCACTTCCTCCTTCCCTGTTTTGCTCGGAAAAACAAAATAAGTTTTGCAGAATAACTGATAATAGTTAGAGGTAACGTGATAAAACTTAATACGCTATCTTCGAAAAAAGAATCCGATTTACAGTCATTCGTGGCAGTTTATGCTTAAAACTTTTTCAAATTATATCCTGTGTATCGAAACTGCCGGGACAGTCAGTCTGCCATTTCATAGTTAGTAATGTTGACGACATATTCAAACAGACCAGACGCAAGTGTACTATCCTTGGTCCTTTGATTCTGGGCTTGATCCTTAAACCCAGGCTGGAACGCACCAGGCGGGCCGGAGCGATTATGCGTTTTTGCACTTTCGTACCGT